AGAAACATTTTCAGAATTAATATTTACTACTTATATTAATAATTTTGATAATTGGGTACAAATATCTAATGAGGAATTGTTAGAAAATCGAAGATTATTAATTTATAGACCCAAGGAAATAGTTTGGGTGAAAAAATCAAGTGTATTAAGTGAAAATCAAATAGAAGCTCTTAGAAAATATAATAATCTGATTGATGGATGGCCTGCAATTGTTGAATATGGAGCTAATAACAATATTATTGAATTAAAACCTTTGGAAATTGATATTAAAACAATAAAACTTGGAAAAGAAAATATTAGACCATGGTTATCTGAAGACATTAAAAAAATCAAAAGCCTTTGTTTACATAATAAAGATTTTTATTATCAAAAATCAGAAGGGAAAATTCTTTTTGGTAAATTCATGAAGGCTTTGAGGCATGGATATGAAATGTCTAACAGCTATTCATTATCTTCAAAAATAAAAAAAACCAATAACAATAATACAGTAAATGATCATTATAAACAAATATATTGGGGTAATGAATGTATAAAAATCAATGATTTGGTTAGAATAGGCAATGACAAAAGAGGTAGTGATTTATGCATAAAAATTACTGAAATATATAAAGACAACAAAGATTCAATAAAATTTAAGGGAGATTTATTAATGTCAATAAAAGATAAAGACAAACATAAACATTGGATTAAATTTGATTTTCACAAAAAAAAATATATTTTTGATTTGGATAAAATTGCTGGAAGGTACTATTGGTCTGACTGGTGTGTCACAACAATCACTCAATCAATGCCAACTAATGATATAATAGATGAAATAAAAAGGAACCAGCAAATAAAAAGATTAAAGGAAATTTTGATTGAAAGAGATACCAATAATAATAATAATAATAATAATAATAATAATAATAATAATAATAATAATAATAATAATAAAGATGATTCAATAACTAGTGATAGTGATGATAATGATGAAATTTCACTAACTAAAAAAAAACTTGATAAAAGAAAAAATTGTGATAATGACAAAGATTTACCAATCAAGACCAAAATTAACAAAGGGAAAAAACCATCTTCTTTTAAGGCAACTGATAGACCAGCTGCAAAAAAAGCAAAGCTTGAAGAACATTTAGATAATACAGCAGACTTTAATCCTTTTTCAATTCTGAGCACAAAAAATTCTTCACCATATTACAATATTTCTTCTTCATCTAATACATCTATATCAGCATCATCTACATCTACTTTTTACAAAATTTCTTCTTCAACTTCATCCGAATTTACACCCTCAACAAAATTCACAAGTCAATCTACAATTTCAACTTCAACTGCTATTCCATCTACATCTGGACCTCCAACTAAAACTACAAATCAATACACTACAACTTCATCTTCTAAACCATCAGTTACATCATCATCAATCATATTTAAGAACAGAATAATAATTACACCCAAGGTTACAACTACACCTACAAATAAAATCACAACTACAGCTCCAGTTGCTAAATCTACATCTACAGTTGCAAATTATAATTCCCCAGTTAACAATAAAAATCCAATTAAAAGCCAAAATAAACTTACAGCACTAGCTGCAAAGCATACAACATCAACAACTGATTCTACTTTAACTTCAATTACTCAAAAATTAAGTAGAATGCCCAATTTTACCACCACATCGTCATTATTATAATTGTTTCGAATATTAG